ACGTTCTTAGTAGTCAGAGCAAGTCTATTTAATGTCTTGTATTCACATCTTTTCTATTTTCCCTGTATATTATTTTTGTCTGTGCTCTTCTCTGCCCCACCCCCCACTTACTGTTTTATTATCAGAAAATAGATGCCATGGATGTTTGGGAAGACCTCACTGAACTTGGTTATCATCTTGCCGAATTACCAGTAGAGCCACACCTTGGTAAAATGGTGCTGTGTGCTGTTGTTTTGAAGTGCCTGGATCCCATTCTCACTATTGCTTGCACTCTTGCGTATCGAGAGCCTTTTGTTCTACCTATGGTGGCCTCTCAAAAGCGTGCAGCTATGCTGTGCAGAAAACGTTTAGCTGCAGGAACATTCAGTGACCATATGGTGCTCCTCAGGGCTTTCCAGGTATTGTTTCATCTTCAGAAAGGGTACCAATAATAGCATGTGTACAAAAGTAAATGGTATAACATTGGATGTGAAATGATTGACTAGAGGGAGTCCTTAGAGAGTGAAGGTTCTTTTTGTGTAGCAGATTTACTGTCTTGAATTAATTAATAATGTTTAAGGAAACATTGTATTCAGCTGTTCAGTTTTATATTTTTTATCCTAAGTTTCAACCATTACCATTTTGACAGGATAGAAAACAATATAGAGATAGAGAGATGTAGGAGATAGATTAAGTTAACGTAGAGAATTGGGTAAACAAAATTTAGTAATTGACTAGAGAAATGGTTTAATACATTTCAGTTTCAGAATTGTTTTTGGCCTCCTTTTATTAACATATGTCACTGTATTTAAGTGCATTTTCTTATTTCCAAATTTGTCTGTAGATTTGTTCAGCTAAAAAATACTCTTTGTAGGCATGGCAGAAGGCACGAAGTGATGGCTGGGAGAGGGTCTTCTGTGAAAAAAACTTTGTTTCTCAAGCTACAATGGAAATCATCGTAGGCATGAGAACAGAGTTACTTGGTCAGCTTAGAGCTTCAGGTAAGTAGCTCAGATTTTTCTTAACATAGTTTTTGAATTCAGTCTAGTACAAGTGTATATAGATTGTGACAAGAGTAGTATTCACTGATTTTGTTTTCCTTTCCTAATCTGAAATGGACATGTACTTTCTGAGTGTGGTGAAGATGCTAGAGTGAGGAACTGTAGCTGACAACAGAATTAGATGCTAACCTAAATGAAAGGGCCCTCATATGTCCTCATTTCACTGGTTTTCGTAAGAAATCTGGTATGACTCGTATGTGAAATGTTGCCTTGAATTTTTATGTCCTATTAATCTATTTCTGTAAGAATGAATTACGTTTTGTGTTAGCATGAAACATCAAGAAGTATTTCTGGTATTTTTTTTCTTGGTGCTGTTAAAATTGGCATTCTGAAAAATGCAGCAAATGCATAGTTTATTTCACCTTTGTCTCGAATTCCTTTTCAGAAACAGAAATATGAACAAGCAATCCAGTGTAATTTCTGTGTCCTCTTCAGGTTTTGTCAGAGCCAGAGGAGGTGCTGATATTAGAGATGTTAATGCTAACTCTGAAAACTGGGCTGTGGTTAAAGCTGCCTTAGTGGCTGGGATGTACCCCAATCTTGTGCATGTGGACAGGGAAAACCTGGTTTTGACAGGCCCAGAAGAGAAGAAAGTGCGATTTCATCCTACGTCTGTTCTTAGCCAGGCTCAGTATAAAAAGGTAATAAATATTACTCTCGTTTTTATGAACTGCAGGTTCAAAAATATTCTGTCAAAGTTAAGGAAGTTTTAGAAACGTGCCTCTAAATTCGTCAGTACCTTAAAGAAGCCTGCATGTGCCTGTTTTTAGACACTGTATTTTTAAGAAATGCTTTTCCTGCCAGGATGATAAAATAAAGCACTGGCTTAAGAGCACTGTTTTTTCACCAGAATTTAATTCACTTAATCCTTCTATTGGGACAAGATAATATGGCACATAAAAAAACCAAACAGCCTTCTTAGGAACCTGTTCTGGAGATACAGTAATCTCTGCTGATAGTAGCAAGAAGTTCTGCTCTGAAGCTCAAATTTCTAGATACATGGAGAAACAAGATTTAGCTTCAGAGATGTTTGAATGTTCTTCTGAAGTGTGGTTGAGTTTTTCTGTGTGTATCTGTTCACATATTTGTATGTTTAAAATAATAAATGTGTTTAAACTTATTTTAATTACAAATGGAAGTTAAAACAGCCTAGTCTCTCGGTTGCTCTTGTGCAGATTCCGCCATCAAATGGGCAAGCTGCAGCTGTTCAGGCACTCCCTACTGACTGGCTTATATATGATGAAATGACAAGAGCTCGCAGGATAGCAAATATCAGATGTTGTTCAGTTGTAACACCTGTCACTGTGGCACTCTTCTCTGGACCAGCTAGGTTACCACATAATGCTTTGGAAGAGCCTTTGTCCTTTCGAGGTATATGGGGTTTTGGATTTGGCAAGTTTCAATTGGATATACAGCAGTATGTGACACAGAAGGCTTCTTTCACAAGAATATGCAATACATGTGTTAGTGAATTCTTAAAGCTACAAAGCCACGGTACCTGTAGCTGTTGAAGACTAGTTTTCTGGTTCTGTAAGTAGTGCCTCAGGCACAGGCAAGTAATCTTCTAAATGTGTATGATTTCTCAAAGAACATTGAGTGCTACATCTTTCTAATCTTTGTTATACTATCAGAAGTAACCACCATCTTGGCCTTATATGCTGCTGTAGGTAAAGATTATGAAACATATGACAAGGATTGGGATCTATATTCTTAGTCTACAGTGATTTTTTTCTTGGGGTTGTCATTGAAGGGCTGATTTCTTTGCAGATGCTAATTGATTATAAACAGCAATTACCCTGTTACACTTTCTTTCTGTTACTGGTCATCCGTTCTGAAAAATTACTTTTTAATCAAATATTGTTTCATCTTCCCCATCTTTCTAACTTGAGTTGTAACTGATTGCTTAGACACGTTCTACCTGTTCAGGTGAAGTCTCAGGCATCCCTCATACAATGCTATTGAAGAATGACCTCAGGAGATCTCCTCTTACTGCTGTAATGCTTATGAAAACATACCGTATTAAACCACTTATGTCTCTACTGGACAGGAACAGGTTTGCTTTCATTTGTCTGAGATTAGTTAACCAGAAAAAATGTTGAACACAGGCATTATTAAGTCCCAGATAATATTTGAATAATTACTTGTAAGTTACACTGATCTGCAAACAGTTCAGCGTCATGTTGTGTTATGAGTAGTAGAGAAGTAGATTTACAGAGCATCTTCCTCTAAGATTTGAAGGTTTATGATGTAAATGGGGGGGGAAATTATGGAATGCTGCTGCTTAGGGAAGCAGTGGAGCAAGAACTTCAGATTTGTCCCACAGGTTGTTTGGAGGCCTCCTTCCAGAAGGTAATATTATCTAGAAGCCCAGCTGAAGTGCCTCTGTACCAATGTATACAGTGTTGAATAAGCAGGAGGAATTGGAAATGGTGGTGCACTTGTAAAACTGTGATCTCACTGCTATCACAGAAACACGATGGGATAACTCGTGTAACTGCAATACGATGATTAAGGGCTCTAAGCTTTTCACAAAGGAAAGACCAAGTAGGACGGATGAGTTTCCCTCTATTGTTAAGAAGTGGCTAGACTGTGAAGAGCTGCCTCTGAGAAACAGTAGTAACAAGTTTGAGAGCTTGTGGGTTACAATGAGGGACTGGTCCAGTAAAAAACGTTTGGTGGTTGGGGTCTGTTACAGGCCACATCTGATCACGGAGAGCCTGCTGACAAGGCTTTTTCACTTCAGCCTTGAGGCGTGCTCACAGGCTGTCATCCTGGTGGAGGACTTGAACCACCCAGATACCTGCTGGGAAGCAACACAGCCAAACTGCACGTGATTCGGGAGATTCCTGGGGTCCATTGATGATAAGCTTCTGGTTCCAGGTGTTGGATAGACCCACCAGAGGGGAAATGTTTCTGGGCCTGGTGCTCAACAGTGTAGAAGAGATGATTAAAGAGGTTAAGATTGGAGGCAGCCTGGGTTGCAGTGACAGTGCCCTGGTCAAGTTTGAGACCTTGAGGAATGTGGGCCTGGCAAAGAGCACACCCTCGTGGAAGGAGATGTTAAGGCCCATGTGAGATGAGGAGATAAAGTGAGACAGACAGCACAGCTTCACGAAGGGCAGATCATGCCTAAGCATTCTGATGGCCTTCTGTGATGGAATGACTACTTCAGTTGTCCTTCCAGTGTCCACCAGTGTAGTCTACCTGGACTTGAGCAAGGCCTTTGCACAGTGCGATGAGGAGGGGCCTCTTCTCCCGGGCAAGGAACAGGACCCGGGGAAATGGTTCCAAGTTGTACCAGAGGAGGTTTTGCTTGGAATTAGGAAAACCTTTTTGTCTCAGAGAGTGGTCAGGGACTGGAATGGCTGCCCAGGGAGGTGGTGGAGTCGCCGTCCCTGGCAGTGTTCAAGAGGCGCCTGGATGAGGAGCTGCGAGATGTGGTTTAGTGCTTGTGGTAGCAGTGGTAATGAGAAGACAGTTGGACTAGATGATCTTGTGGATCGTTTCCAACCTTGTGATTCTGTGCTTCTATGATTTTGAGATTCCTAGAAATCCTTGTTTGAGCCTGTTGTGTATCATTATGATCCACTTAAATCCACATAGCATCAGTTGCGTGAGGGGACCCTCCCTCTGAACATCCAGCCCCATACAGGCAGTAAGGGTGCCAAAAGGTGCTGTGCTTTGCTACCAACCACATTCAAAGCAGCTCTGAACCCTTCATGTTCAGCTTAAGAAAACTTGATTTTCATAATTAGAAAGTCTGCCACTGTTTTAATTCCTGAAGTTAATTTGCCAGAAATGCTGACGGTGGGTGAGTAGGACCACTGCTTCTGTGATTTGCATAGGCTTTGGTGTAGTGGGTTAACAGGGTGGATCTAGACTTGATGTGAAATGGTATTGGCCTCCTTATAAACCCTAAGAGGGTGGATGCACCCAGTGGTATAAATCTACACTTTCCCAAGATAAGTGAAGTAACAAGCTTTAGAACAAGCTTTTCTGAACTGTGTCTGTGGTAGTTGTCCCTAGATTGTAGAAGATGCTAGTAGTCACTCTGTTTCTGCTCTGTTTTTCTTGCTCTCCTCCTCTTCCCTCAACAGTACTTAAAATTTAGGTGGTAAATATACTAGCAGAAGTCGGTCTGGTCAGCTGTGGAGGCAGGACCAACATGGGCTTTAACTTCAAGGTAGCATTAAGCCTTTGTTCCACCTCAACAGGACTTGTTTGAGATGTTGGAAATGGCAGTAGTGTGCACAGAGAACACTTTGATGTGGTAGTGCTTAGTTTGATGTAAGGTGTAAAATTCTGAGAATACTTCACAGCTTTCTTATGTAGTATTTCTGTAGCAACCAGTATTGATTGTTCTGTTACAAAGGAAAGCCAGTATGGTTTGAGTCGTGAATGTGGGTGCTTACGTAACAGGACCTCAGGAGTTCTGGGTACTGGAGTTCTGCTGAAGCAAATGCAGGCGAGCAGACTTGTTACTGAGATGTATTTGCAGCAAATAAATGTAACTTTAAATATTTTTAATTTAGAAGGAAAACTGTGTTATTTCATGCATTATGCTGTGAATAGTGCACATCTGATGACGATTGTATGGAAATGTGAATGCTGGTTTTGTATCTGTTTGATTCAGGAAATAGGGTAGCTAATGATGACAGCGATAGTGGGATGGAGGACGAAAGATCCAATGTGGCACTACTGAAGCTGGATGAATGGCTCCATTTCAAATTGGACTCTGAAGTAAGTAATGTTCAGAGAAGCTCTGAATACTTTAGAAGGTGGAGTTGTGACTGGGTTATGAAACATTCACCATTCAGATGCTGTAGTAACGCTATCTTGCAAAAGAGTTCAGAACAGTTTTTAGATAATATGGAAGTTAAATTCTGGTCTTCTAAAATATATTGTCATTTGAATTATTATGCATAAGAAAATGATCTCCCTTAGAAATTAAGCTCTTCCTTCAGAATCGTGTAATACTTTCTTTTCTCCCTGTCAGTCTGTATTCCTACAGGATAAAAGTGAAAGTGAAAAATAAGTTCTGTAAGTTTACTGTATAATTTTGATTTTCTCGCAGAGCTGATTGAAATGGAAAGTTCTAGTAATGACCTTGAAGCACCTTTTTTCTTCCATTTATAGGAACTGAGTAGCTTTCTTTAAATCTTTTTTTTTTCCTGCTTTACTGGTGGTTGAGTATTGCCCTTTGGCTTGCACTCTGTTCATCATAGAATACCAGATGCTGCCTGATAAGAGAGTGTATACCTGTGTAATCTAACGTTCATTAGTGTTTAACAGTTTGTGTTCATGACAGGTTGCTGGTTTGCTGATGCAACTCAAACTCAAGTGGCATAGCTTACTTCTGCGCCGAATGAGAGCTCCTTCTAAACCTTGGTCTCAAGCTGATGAAATAACTATAAGAACAATTGTATCTGTTCTAAGTACTGAAGAACAGTTTGCAGGATTGCTGCAGCCTTCAGGAGTTGGTCAGAGGCCAAGGCCTGTTTCTTACAATGAACTTCCTTCAGCACCTACCTGGAGGTCAGCCAGCACCTCAGCAGAAAATGAATTATCTGATGATTCCTCTAACGCTGAAAAGTAAGCTCCTGAAAACTTATGATTTCACTGATAAAAGTTCCATATGTGTGCCTGCTGTATGACAGTACAGGTAGGAGCGTTCCTGAATTGTGATCTCAGAGAGATCACAGTAAGTAAAAGTAGTAGCAGAAAGTTTAGCATTCTAAACTGATGCGTGATGAGCAGTATGCATTTCTTAGATTTGAAGTGTTTGATATAGTTTGTAATTTCTGTAATGCATGTAGTTATGTGATACACTACTGTGTATACCTTAGTATTTCTGTGATTGCTTGCCAAACCCTTGTATATATTAACACCATTTGGTACCAACCTCTACGTTTAGAGTTCTGAGGAAGTCTGCACATCCAGCATTTCATCAGCCAAGGAGATACAAAGAAAAAAATATTTTGTCTTCCAAACGAACATCAGATGAGAAGTCAGATCAGTCATCAGTGAAATCTACAGGCAGCAGTTCCTGTCCTAGCCCACGTGCTAGTCCTTCTCCAATGTCTGGAAAGGTAGCATTCATAAATTACCCACTTTGATATCCACTCTGAATTTCAGAAATAAATTCACTGGTAACTTTCAATAGTGCTGTGCATTACATGGATAAATTAAGATCTTTGTGTTTTGATTTTTAACAGCTGCATAGCACTTTTTTTTTCTTGCAGCTTTCAACCTAGACTAAATATCCTCGTGAGAATTTGAAATTTACATTGCAGTTAATGTTTTATTGCATCAAGTGTCTCTTTTTTAAAAAATTTCCATTCCATCCACTAATTTCCACTGAAGTCTGTCTTGAGCTAAATCTGTTTCAACTGCGTGTCTGGTGATTTAATGCTGGTAGATAAGGAGGGTCAGGCAGAGATCAGCGAGGGAAACTCAGTGCACCCAAATCCATGTGTCCCAATGGGATGCACCCATGAGTTCAAAGGGAGCTGGAAACAGTGATTGCCCAGCCACTCTGTCATCTTTGAGAGGTATTGGGAAATGGGGAAGGCATCTGGGGAATGGAAGCAAGCCACGGTCAGTTCATCTTCAAAAAGGGGAAAGGAGAAGGAGCTGGGAAACTCCAGGCCTGTCACCTTGACCTCTGTACCAGGGAACGTCATGGAATAGGTCATCTTGAGTACAGTCACACAGCATATGCAGGACAAGCGGGGGATCAGGCCTAGTCAGCGTGGGTTCATGAAAGGCAAGTCCCACTTGACCGTCCTCATCAGGAGGCCTGTGGACGTAGCCTGCTTAGACGTGCGTAAAGGCTTTGACCTGTTTCTCCCAGTATTCTCTTGGAGAAGACAGCAGGCCATGGCTTGAACAGGTACACTGTCTAAAAACCTGGCTGGATGGCTGGGCCCAGCTCATGGAGGTGGATGGAGTTAAATCCTCCTGGTTACTAGTGGTGTTTTGCAGGCGTCAGCATTGGACGTGGCCTTGCTTAATGTCTTTGATGATTTGGATGAGGGATTGAGTAACACCTGGGTGAGTTTGCAGATGACACCAGGTTGGGAGAAAATGTTGATGTGCCTGGGTGCAGGAAGGCACTACAGAGGGATCCAGATGGGCTGGATCAATGGGCTTAGGCCAGCTGTATGACCTTGTAACCAGATCCAGTGCAAGTCCTGCATTTTGGTTACATTTGGACTCCTTGGTTCAAGGAACTTTTAGAGAGTATCCAATGGATGGCCACAGAGATGATGAGGGGCCTGGAGCGTTTCTCGCATGAGGTAAGACTGAGAGACCTGAGATAACAACCTGGAAAAGATGAGGATGGGCACAGGCTGGAACACAAAGTTCCATCTGAACATGAGAAAGAACTTCGCTCTTAGGATTGACAGAGCATTGGAATGAGCTGTTCAGAGAAGTTGTGTCGACTTCTCTGGAGGTGTTTGAGACTAGCGTGGATACTTTCCTGTGTAACATCTCTAGGGAACCTGCTTCAGGAGAAGGGTTGGACTAAATGATCCCCTGAGGTCCCTCCCAGCCTCTGTGAATCTGATTTGTGGGCCTTTCCTGGGCTGCGTAGAGCTTCGGTTCTATGTGTGGAGCGCCTCCTCCCCTTCTCTTGCACAGGTCTCAGGGCCTGCAGGGCTGCTTCTCTCCCATTTCTCACTCCTCTCTTAGCTGCTGTTGTGCAGTCGTTTTCCCTCTCTTAACTCGGATCCTCTCAGAGCACAGCTGGTGTCTCCTGTGGCTCAGCTCCGGCAGCAGCGTATCCCTTTTGGTGCAGTTGGAGCTGGTTCTGCTCTCACATGGGACACTGCTTAATTCTGCTTGCAGAAGCTTCCATGCAGAGACCCCTGCTACCAAAACCTTGCCACGGGAATCCAATTCAGTGTCTTCAAACAGTAGTGCGTGCTGCTAACTCAGGAGTCCAGGGAGAGTACAGCACTATGACTTGCAGAAGAGATGCCAGAAGTGGTAGATGAGCTGGATGTGATTCGTTGTTGTAGTTTTGATTTTTTTGTTTTTGGAGGAAGGAGATAAGTAGGAGAAGAAATCTTCTTGTTTGTTTCCTTCTTTATACTCTCTGAATGTTTGTCTTTTTTGTAATTTATTTGCGGTTCTTTGGAGAAAAAGAAAACCGAAGCAACTCCGACTTCTGTGTTTGACAAACAGCTACCTTGTATTAATTCTGTGTGACAATTTAACAGAAGATGGGAATGAAGATGCAATAACATCTACAACTCAACAGAATAGCTAATGGACTGTTATGTAATACAGTGTTATTGTTGATGTTTTTATGACATTTAAAATTTGCTGAGTCTTTCAGTGTAATCCCAAGTGACTGATAGACTTTGCTCGTGGTCAGATTTCAGAGAGCATCTTTGAAGAGGAAAAAAGAAAGATACTTTTGATTTTTCTAGATTAAACATTTTTATACATCCAGCTGCTTGAGGGATATAGTGAGATCACCCTAAAACTAATTAGAATGTTTAGTCTTCAGTGCAATCATTATTTAATTCCACAGTTTAAAACTGTGTTTTTCCTTTTGTGTTTCAGTTTTTGTTCCAGAGATTTGCTAGGATGTCTTTAGAGATACAGGCTTGGGGAGGAGTGGCTGGAAAGCTGCCTGATGGAAAGGGACCTTGGTGTACCGATGGACAGTGAGCTGAATATGAGCCACCTGTGCCCTGGTGGCCAAGAAGGCCGATGGCATCCTGGCCTGTATGAGAAATGGTGTGGTGAGCAGGAGTAGGGAAGTCGTCCTGCCCCTGTGCTCAGCACTGGTGAGGCCCCACCTCGAGTACTGTGTTCAGTTTTGGCATCTCAGCACAGAAAGGACATGGAGGTGCTGGAGCAGGTCCAAAGAAGAGCAGCAAGGCTTGTGAAGGGCTTGGAGAACATGGCCTGTGAGGAGAGACCGGAGGAGCTGGGGCTGTTTACTCTGGGGAAAAGGAGGCTGAGAGGAGACCTTGCTGCTCTCTTCCAATATCTGAAAGGTGACTGCAGCGAAAGTGGGGTTGGTGTCTTCTCACTGGTGACAGGAGACTGGCTGAGGGGAAATGGCCTCAAGTTGTGCCAGTGGAGGTTTAAGTGGATATGAAGAAAAACTTGTTTACAGGAAGGGTTGTCAAGCACTGGAATAGGCTCCAGGGAGGTGGTTGTGTCACCATGCAGGAATGTATTCAAGAACCGTTTGGATGTGGTGCTCAGGGACATGATTTAGCAGAAGGTTGTTAGAGTAATATGGTTGGACTTGATGATCTTGAAGGTCTTTTCCAACCTGATCAGTTGATTCTGTGATTCTATGGCAAATAGTTCTTCAGACCGAAAGAGTCTTAAGGATCTTTACACAACTGTTCTCTATTTATGGCCGTGGTTCTACAAAGAGGCAACCTATCACTTGTTTGCACTTTACTGAATTAAGCTTAGAATAGAGAGAATAATAATCTTTGTTTTTAGAAAGGCACAGGATATGTGGTTCAGATGTTCTTGTGTGTAGTGGTGGTCTGTTCAGTGAGAATTGTCTTCGTAAAAAATGGTGTCTTACTGTGGATGGAAAGAAAGCTTGAACCAACTGGGCTGATGTTTTGTCTTCTTTCAGCCGTATTTAAAACAAACAAAATCTTGTGCAGGGAGGTTCCAGTGTATGTCTCAACAGCAAAGAGAATGAGTTCTTCCAGAGAAACTGAAAGTAATTGCCTTTATCTGTCTTGTTCCAGGTAGTTTAATACAGAACAGACTTCTCTAATTCTCTGCTTATTTCTAGGAGCTGGACCCGCAAATTGGAGAGCAGTTGCTCCAGCTCTGGGATCATCCTACTTCAGCAGGAAAAAGCTCAACTGACAACGTAAAGTAATAAAATAGCAGTAGGTATTTCTTGTATTATTTGCTTTTTGTGATAGAGGAAAAGCTATCTATGTGCAATTGAGCTTGACAGCATTTGTCCTTGCAGCTGTTAAGAAATAAGAGAAGGTAATGTTTGCTAACTGCTTGCTTTTTTTTCCAGCCCTGGGTGTCAGAAATTACTTAAAGCCAGAAATGTGCCTCCAGTAAGAAGATGAGGAAGAGGATGGTGCAACAAGGCCTGAAAGTGTTAGTGATGCTGTGCAGCTGGCACTGGAAGAGTAAAAGGAAATAAAGTGGACTGTAATATTTTTCATGTATTAACAAAAATCTTAACGTTGTTCACCCGCCTGATTTCAAGTGAATTATTTTTTTCTGAAGTAAATATTTAGTGTGTAGGTGATTTTCAGAAATAGGGTTAAATTAAGAACAAAACCTGCAATTGTGCTTACTGAGTTTTAAATGGCACAGCAAGTACAGTTTGAACTGTTGAAGTACACAGTTACGTTCAAAGCTTTTTCAGCATGAGTGGTAAAGAAACCAGTGTTTCTAATAATTGGTCTTGTGGGTTGTTGAAATTGAACAAATTTCCTTTACTAAAACGAATGAAAGATTTCCTTAAGAATTAGTTGACGTTCCATGTGAGAAATCAATATGTATTCATACAAACAATTGAGCAGCTGGAGAATATAGAAGTTCACTGAAATATGTAAATCAAAGGGAGTGTGAGACTCCTTTGAGAGTTGTCTTGTTTGATGTCTGCTCCCAGTTTGTAGTTTTACACCTTGTTAACGATGAGCGTAGTTTACTAAGTCTCAGTTGCGTGGTAATGGGTGAAAGTCTATAGGGCCCCACTGTGGGCATTCTTAGGAGGGGATTTGGGTTCATTAAAGAAATAACTGCCAGCACAGCTTTCTTTGATTACCGAGTTTCTCTTTACAGGTTAAGTTCTTGCTGTGTAAGATTAGTGTCAATTCACTCTATTTGCTGTCAGCACGATGTTTGTAGTTGATGTTAAAATAAACACAGAGCGTTTTCTGCCTCTGAGCCTGCTCTTTTGGTGTTGATGTCTACTGAGGTGTTCCTACAGAGTACAGAATGCTCCATTCATTCTTGCGTGCTGTGTAGTGTCTGCTATGCATACCCAGTTGGTATTGACTTCACAGGTCTGCTTGGATGCTGGTAGAGCTAGTATTGCCTGACAGGGTATTTCTGGAGAGCACGTATGCAATGAAGGTGTAAGTCTGTTGTCATGTTCTCCAGTACTGCTGGGCTGTAGCATGCAGAACAACGTGGACTTGTATGCCTTGTACAGTATTTTGGAGTCCTGTGCACGGGAGGGTTAGAACTGGATGGGTAGCAGGAGTGGGATGTGACTGGTCAACAGGCTGAGAGTG